TTATTCAAAGCATTGCACGCAATCTGTATTTTTATCACTCTTCTGGTGAACATTGGTGAGATGAACTAATGAATGTTCCCAGACAGTCATCTCTACATCCTGAAGGCTGAAACCCTAGCAAGGGCTCGGCCATGTGAAATATCAAACTCAGTCAATTAACTAAAAACCTGGATGGGCAGAACGCTCTGCTTGACAAGTTTCTTATAATAACCTCACCATCCCTAGGGAAATGATGAATTTTCTTTCCCTCACCAGTGTAGCTCATAGCTACCTTTTGCCACAACGCATTACTCTCTACTTCTTATTGCTCATGGATCTGGAAATCCCTTCTGTTAATCAGCAGAATCCAGGGATTTGCATATCTGCTTGCCTGAAACTGAAGGACTCAAGCCTGACAATTTATCAAAAAGAGGACATTCAGGTTGTCAGAGTTATCTTTTACCATGCAAATAAAATTATTTCATTTACTTGTTAAAACTCTTTCAACGGATTTCCATTTCACTTAGAATAGGAGTTAAAGTTCTTATTATAATCTACTGGGCCATACAGAACCAACTTCTGCCACCTCATCTCTGTAAACACGATTTATCACTCACTGGGTTCCTGTCATGACAGCCTTCTTTACGTCCTTCAAGCAAGCCAAGCCATGCCTGTCTCTTGGCCTTTGTGCTACCATTCTTCTACCTGCAACATGTCTCCACCATATCCCAGGTATGATAGATTTCTTGTAAGTCAAGTCTAAATGCAAATGTGAAGTCCTCAGGAAGGAGTTGGTTATCCATCTCCACTACTTCACTCACTAATCTACCAGGGGGGACCCAAAAAAACCCTGGCATTTATTTATATAAGAAGTGTGTATTTATTCTTACATTTTCAACTTCAGTTACCTTCAAAGTACTCTCCATTGCATGCAATATACCTTTTGAGACACTTTTTTCTCTGTTCAAAACAGTTTTTAAACTCATCAATGTTGATGCCTTTTAGTGCTTCTTTTTTTTTTTTTCACCTCTTCCACATGGGTAAAACATTTCCCTTTGAGAACTTTTTTTATTTGGGGAAACAAACAAACAAACAAAAGTCACTTGAGATGATATCAGGTGAATAGGGAGGGTGGGCACAGGGGTCAGGCCATTTTTTGGACAAAAACTGCTCATTCAGCACGCTATGGGCAGGTGAGTTGTCATGGTGGAAAAACAAGACACCCGTTTGCCACAACTTGGGGCATTTCTTCCACAAATCATGACTCAAGCTCTCAATACTTCCAGATAAAAACTTTGATTGACCTTTTGATTCAGAGGAACCAATTCCTAGTGTGCTACAAGGGGCCCACCCTCCAAAAGAGAATTCCAGGTTTCTTTTTTGGTTTCCCCTCATATTAGCATGCCACCCTCATCACTATTTGAAATTATTTATGTATTTTCCATTTATTGTTTATCAGCCTACCACCAGTAATACAAACCCCAGAAGAGAATGCTCCTTGTTTCTTTCACCTACAACAGTGACTAAGATAAACACCCCAAATTATTTGCTAATGACTGAGGTAGATTGCTTCCAAAGGTGCCTGTTATTAATTTCTTCTGTCCTTACACATCCATGATGACATTTCTATTAAGAGGTTTTCTATCCCTTTTAATCCAAGCTGGCCTTGTGATTTGTCTTTGACCAACTATATTCAGTGGATGCAACAGTACACCAGCTTTAGGCCAGGCCCTCAACAGGTCTAGTAGTTTCATTCTTGTGGTCTTTGGGTCCTGAGCATGAAAGAGTTCCAACAAAGGGAGAAGCCCAGAAGGATATAAGGCTGCCCAAAAAGAGAATGAGAAGCTCAGTCAGCCATCAGCTATTTTAGCCAGCCAGCTTAAGACCAGACTTTTGAGTAAAGGTCGCTTGGATATTACAGGTGCACTAAATCAAAGCAGCAAATACCCCATGGACCAGAGACAAGGCCTAAATGCAGAACCTAAAAAAGTTGTTTTAAACCACAAAAGTTTGGAGTGGTTTGCTATGCAGTAATAGATAGCTGAAATGGTCATTGGTACCAGAAATTGGGTGGTGCTGCAACAAGTCTAAAACATATGGCATTGGCATTGGAATCAGACAGAGTCTGGACAATCCATGAGGAAACTATTAGTAAGAGCTGGAAGAACAGTGACAAAATTGCTATTAGAGACTGGAGAAAGGTAAATGCCTATTAAACAGTGCTGGAAAAATTAACAAGACTATCCACTGAAGTAACTTGGAACATAAAAACATTCCTGGCTGGGCTCGGTGGCTCAGCCTTTAATCCCAGCACTTTGGAAGGCTGTGGCAAGTGAGTTGCCTGAGCCCACGGGTTAGAGACCAACCTTGGGCAAGTTGGCGAGACCTCGTCTCTACAATAAATCAAAAATTAGCCAGGTGCAGTAGCACATGCCTGTAGTTCCAGCTACTTGGAAGGCTGAGGCGGAAGAATTGCTGGAGCCCAGAAGGTTGACGCTGGGGTGTCCCCGAGTGTGCCACTGACTCCAGTCTGGGCAATGGAGTGAGACTCTAAGAAGAAAGAAAGAAAGAAAAAGAAAGAAAGAAAGAAAAAGAAAGAAGAAAGGAAGGAAGGAAGGCAGGTAAGAAAGGAAGGAAGGAAGGAAGGAAGGAAGGAAGGAAGGAAGGAAGGAAGGAAGGAAGGAAGGAAGGAAGAAAGAAAAAGAAAGAAAGAAAAAGAAAGAAAGAAAGAAAGAAAAACAAAACATTCCTGATAAACTTGTGGCTCTGGTTAATGGAATTTTCAGGCCAAAAGCTGAATGTACTAATTAGCTTCTTTTATTTGTATGTGATAAGGATGTGCAAGAGAGAAGAAACTTCCATTTTGAAGAAGAATTTAGAAAATCTCTAGTGGTCCTAGGACAGTATCTCTAACTGGTAAAAGTTTCTCAAACTAAGAAAAAAAAAGGTGAAATCCAGGGTGCTGCCAGTAATAGATGACTTAAAGGTAAAAAACAAATGGTGAGTATAACTAGAAGGCTCCTTGTTAAGACTTCTGAAAAATTTAGCACTTCACGATTGTTTGGCCGTAGAAATCTCTTGTTAACATTTTCTTTCGTCTGTTTATGCATTAAAGCATTTTACACAGAGAAACACATTTTATAAATGTGATAATTAGGATCACATTTATATAAAGATTACAAAGTATTTCACTGTCAGTCAATGGTTATCAAGAACTTGATTTGGAGATGATTGCTTATAGAACATGTCTGTTCTTATAGGTATCCTAAAATATGTAAAATATTCCTCTATTCCCATACGTTTGCAAAGATCTCTTATGGGAACCAAATTATAAATGCTTACAACAAAAAAGTTTTAATAAAGATGCATTATAATGTCATCTGTCTATATATTAAAATAAATATTTAATTTATTAGATATATAAACATTACATTTTAATGTTACATGTAACTATTTTTAAAAGGCATTAAAACTAACTATTGTTGCATGAAGCTCTTTGTGGAGGGTGCTGTTTATCCCATTATGCAATATTCTATGATGAGGATCCTACTGCCAAATTTCTTTCTAATTTTGCTATTAAAATTTATATTTCTCCTAGATGAATCAATGTGTATACATTGCAGCCAGCCTGAACTATGTAACTACTAATCCATTATTTTTTTCCCCAAAGTGTGGGATAAGCTATGTGGCTCTCTGCAAAAAGCAAATCTGCAGTCTTGACACTTGTTCTCTGACCCTAAATTTGCATTAATTTCTTTACCTCCACATTTAATTTTTTTTTTTTTTTGAGTTGGAGTCTCACTCTGTCGCCCAGACTGGAGTGCACTCTGTCGCCCAGACTGGAGTGCAGTGGCAGCTACCAGCCCTCACAGAATGCACCGCTACCCAGGCCCAAATGGGGACGTCTCCATGGGTATCACA